ACTCCCCTGATTACAATAACAATTAGCATTTGAGTTGTACTTTTAAAATCAATTTATAATTTATAAATATAGCTATAGCTTACAACTCAGCTTATAGTTTACAAGTCATTTCACATCTCTATTATCTTGTCTGATATTTGCAAGAAACCTTTGTGATTTGTTATTATTCTCCAAGCAAGCACTTAGAATTTTAGCCTCCCTCCTCTTCTCAGTGTAAGCCTGCAGAGAAATATTCATAAGAAGTCCAGGGTCAGGGTTATTACTGGTCTGTTGATGAAAGGGGACTGAATTTTTTGATGACTCTGAAATATAGAGGTTAATAGAATATTAACAGCTATTACTTATTGTGGATTTATGTGCTATTAGCTGCTATAGGTCTAATATCATTTCTCTAATTTTAACCTATTTTGGAATTACCTTGTATTTTAATAAATGCTGCAAACATGTCTAAAATGCCTGTTTTTATGTTTTCACTTTGAGACAGTGGTGGTGATGCTGGTGCTGGTGCTAGGCAAACTTAATTCTCATTTAGTCATAGATAATATCAAAGATGATACAGTAACTACATAAAAGGCATTTGTGAGCTACTACTTGCACATTCTTATGGGAAGTTCTGGCTCATAACACATAATAAAGGCTTCTCCAGGGATGAAACTCTGATGAAAATTCTGATTCAGATCATATACATAAGTAAACATGAAAATAAGTACAATCGAAGTTTATTTTGGGAATACTCAGCCCCTTAGGAATTTTGAAATTAGATTAGCAATCCCTCCCCAAATTACCTATGATGGAAAGCCCTCCAAATTTACCTTACATCAGGGTTGGCAAAAATTTTTGTCAAAGGATCATAACAGGAACCATTTTAGACTTTGGAGGCCTTCAATCTCTGTTTCAACAAGTCACTTCTGAAATTTGTATCGTGAAATTTGTAGCCAAAAACAGCAGCTGTATTTGACCCATAGGCTGCAGATTTCCAATCACTCAGATAGGATTCTCAAGGTCACGTTTAGCTCTTAGGTTATAGTTAACACTGAAATATCTGGGTTTATGGCCATCTCACTGGTTATGAATTATAGGACTTGGGCCTCTCTTCCCTCCACCCTTTACTTTCATCCGAGCCCAGAAGCTTAACTGTGCACATGCAAATGCCTCATCAGGGTATTTTCCTAAACAATGACATTTCCCTTAGCAGAGGAATCCTGCTGCTCCTGTTAAGATAGTAAGTACACCACAGATGGTGCTTTCATTTCAGAAACAACCACAACATAAAAGATGGAAGTTTTGTTTAATTGTTGTGTTTTCCTATTCCACGGTTTCATGATTTAGTTTGGCAAGGGTACAAATTAATATTTAAGCTTCTGCTGGAACTCAACTGTTGTTGATTTCTTTGTTGTATTGTTGGTGGTTCTAAATATAGCCAGGCAAGAAGAGAAAAAGACACACCCAACTCCTTCTCTCTTTCTTTTTGGCAATGTCAAAGAATTTATATTTAAGCTTAAATTTAAGTAAGCATTCTCATAGTACCGCTACCTGTGTTAGAGTGTTTTACTGGCACAGTCATCATATTACTCAAATGAATAAAACTGTAAATTAGGTTAGGGCCGAGTTGATAAGCCACCGGGGATTCCTTCTTCCTTTAGTATTTTTCTTGCCACTCTGCATTTGAAGGTCTCAAACTGGAGGCTCTCGGGGCCCCACACCAGCCCCCTGGTCCATGCTATGTTGAAAAACAAACAAACAAACAAAGAAAAACCCCAAAAAACTAACAAATACTTCCCACCATTAAAAGAAGATATTATCTAGAAATCTGAATTTCTTACTCTCTTTGGAAAATCAGATCTACTGAAGATTGAAGGTTTTTATTTTCACATAAGAACCATGTAGGAACAGCTGCGCCTTTTACCATGCTTTCTACTGTTTTCTCTGTCTCTTCAGCACCGAACCTGAGTGAGGGGACATTTTATCCTCATAACAGTGCTATGATTACACCAACTTGCTTCACTCTTGTATCTGCTCTGCTTGGTCAGTATAGGAATTTGAGCTTCTGGCTCCTGCTGTGTGCGTGATTTCTGGGGATCTCATTAATTACAATTATTTCAAGTCCTACCTATGGGACTTTTCACCCCATCTAACACACTAAAGCATATAATACGACTCAGACACAAAACTATGACTTTATGAATTGTACAATTACTGTCAAGAGCATTTTTATTTATGTTGGTCAATGTCACTTTTTCCTTGCAAGGAAGTCCCTTTTGGAAGTTAGTGCCAAGAAAAGGAAGATTTTTCTCTCTTCAATAATTTTTATAACATATAGCCTTTCTCTTTTTGTCTTGGCAACCAGGAAGTTCAGAATTCAATTTAATAATGCATCATAATTCTGGTGGTATTTCTCTCCTTAGTGCATTATGGATTATTATATTAATACTAATTACTAAAGTAGCACACACATACACATGTTCTACAATTTTCAAGTGCATTTTGCAAGAGATTGGGCTTCAACACATCAGTGTATGAGTGATATATATACTAACTTCTCAAAACCATCCTCGACATTGACAGCAGATTTACATTTATAAAATACTAATCAGGCTATGCCATTATTGCCTTGCTTATTTAAGAATCCTACATGTCTACCTCTTGCTTATAAGAAGTCTAATCTTTTATCAGAGTGTACAAGACCCTTATTCACATTTCTCCAACCATCCTTCCTATCCAGTTTGCCGCTACAAAGTGTCAGTAATGGACTAATTATAGTTCTTCAAAAGCATTATACCATGGTATTTCCCACCATTTGTCCTTCGCAATACCATTTATTCCACCTATAATCACTCTAGTATATGGAAGGTAAATCTGCCACAGAAAATATTACATTGTACTGTCATTTTTTTTAAGCACAAGAATTTTAACAAAATTCTTCCAGTGAAGAACCTTGTTCATTTTGTATATGTTCATTTTGGTATACCTGATGCTGAGCCCACTATTTGATATACAGTTGTGCTCAGTGACTGCTCATTTTGCTAAATTGTGGTTTGTTGAAATATTGATAGAACTGAAATAACTGATACAGGGTATATTTTAGTCTATAAGTAATGAGAATTTTTTTTTAAAGAATAGTATTGAGTGCTTACTATATGCCAGGTTCTCTTCTATATATATAAAATGTATTAATTCACTCAGTCCTCCCAAGCGCTCTATTATCCTATGATTTTGGTACAAAGCCATTTTAGGGAGGAAGAAACTGAAGGCCAAAAATTAGGTAAGTTCCCCAAGGACACACAGCTGGTAGGAAGTGGGGCCAAGGTTGAACCCAGGAGGTATGGTTCCACAGATGGTGTTCATAGTCACTCTACTCCACTGCCTCCCATTTATGTATTGAAAGTATGTTTGTCCTTTATGACACTGAATAAATAGTAGCTAATCTTAACTTTTGTTAGTTCTATCAGCTCTCCGGGAAACATAGGGATTCTTTTGGGCTCCAATATTTTATGAGAAGATTCAATTCTTGAAAAGTCTAAAGAAGTCTAGTAAAATATATTAGACAATAGTACTTTTGAATGTAGTATGTGTGTGCACATTGATTATTTAACCAAGAATAAACAAGACTGAAAATGTACTGACTAGTCTCCACCATCACAGCAACTAAAGGCAATGGCTCTCATTGTAGCAGACAGCAATCTGTGACATCACTGGCACAACTCACAGAAAGGGCTATGGAAAGGTTTCAAGTGCACAATTCTATAATACATCGTCTATACATTGCATTGTGTGTTCGTCACCCAAAGTCAAATCTCCTTCTGCTACCATATATTTGACCCCCTTTACCCTCTTCTACCTCCCTCCCTCCCCCATTTCACTCTGGTAACCACTTAACTGTTGTCTGTGTCTGTGGGTTTCTGCCTGTTTGTTTGTCTTGTTCATTTGTTGCTTTAAGTTTTATATCCCACATATGAGAGAAATTGTATCATTCTCGACTTTTTTTCTGTCTGATTTATTTCACTTAGCATGATAATCTCAAGATCCACCCATGTTTTCAAGGCAGCCAAGGAAAAGAAGATGGTAACCTATAAAGGAAAACCCATTAGATTATCATCATACTTTTCAGCAGAAACTCTACAAGCTAGGAGGGAGTGGAATCAAATATTCAAACTATTGAAAGAGAGAAATCACCGGCCAAGAATAATATGTCTAGCAAAATTATCCTTTAGATATGGAGTAATAAAGACCTTTCCAGACATACAGAAGCTGAGGGAATTTTCCACCACAAGGCCTGCATCACAGGAATAGAATCGTATCTTTTAACTCACTGTACTCTTTCCAAAAATGCTGGGTGGATTTCACTCAGGGCAGCTTTTGCTATTTCTCTTCAAAAGTTCCGGTGGGGCTCCAAATTATGGAATTAGGTCATTATTTTCAGCTTCTGTCACTATGACCAGCTAACACTATACCTAGCTTCAACTCCAGTGGCAAATTGGTGTCAGCTGACTGTCATGGTTTTAGTTTGAAGTTTCAGTTTGTCTCTCTGTAGGTAAAATGTATCACCCTATAATATCAGTGATCTAATGAACAACTGGCAACTGTTAAGGTATCATATAATTATTCCTATGGAAATATGGAAAACAGATTAGCAAATACCTTAAATATACATTTTGTTTTTGTTTACTTTATTGTGACTATATGATGCCACTTTATTGTGCTTTTTCTGATTATACCTGGTTGAATTGTTTTCTGTTTAAGTAAAAATGGTTTTAAGTTTCTTATTAAAGAACATCTACTTTTGCCTATAAATCTGCCAATAATAGCGGATACTTCTCTCTACATTGTATATTGAAAAAAGTGTATGGCCAATCACTGCATGCAGGAAGAGGTAGGCCTGGCATCCCTGCCCGAGAGCTAACTCATTCACCGTATGGATGATTTCTGGATGGAAGAAGAGAAACCACAATGAGGCTCCCGCTCCTGCCACTAACTTTCTTTTTTTCCTTTTCCCTCTACAGGAACTTTTTACCCCTGAATGCAAGTTTAAAGAATCCGTTTTTGAAAATTATTATGTAATCTACTCATCTATGCTGTACAGACAACAGGAATCTGGTAGAGCCTGGTTTTTGGGATTGAATAAGGAAGGGCAAGTTATGAAAGGAAACAGAGTAAAGAAAACCAAACCAGCAGCTCATTTTCTACCCAAGCCATTGGAAGGTAAGTGTTTTGTGTGCATTATCCTTGTCAGATGTATTACACATTTATTTTTCGCATTGATAACTCTACCACGGCCTCAGGGAACCCTCACGTAATGCTGGATATATTCTTTATCTTGATCTTAGTGGTAGTTGCATAGGTGTCTACTTAAGTTGTGCCTTTAAGATTTATACATTTTACTGTAGATATGTATATGCGTGTATGTTACATACATATGTATGTAAATTAGTGGAATATATATATATATATATATATATATATATATTACATGTACATATACATATACATTTTCACAACTTACACAGTAGAAAGTTTACAAATTTAATCTTCTGACCTTGTATACATATACATGTATTCCATTCATCTAAAAAATGCCAGGAAAATCCCCTTTCTAACCACTTCTATGTCTCAAAACCTTCACGTACCCAACATCTCTAGACCATAAATCATTTTTTTTTAAATTAAATTTGTAATGATATTATAAATCTGTGACTGTCACAATAGTTATATTAGAAAAACTACCTTTTTAGTATTATGGAATAAAGTATTTGCCCTTTTTTTTTTTAAAGATTTTTATTGGGGAATTGGGGAGATGGGAATAGTGCTGGGGAATTGGGGGAAGGGGAACAGCCAAGTTGCTGTTGTTTTGTTCATCAGTCTAGTTGTGGAGGACGTTGCTTCACTGGCCCAAATTGGCACCATCATGGCGCTCTTCCCAGGTGAGGCAGATCAGTCGCCAGAGGCCGCTCACTGTGGCTGCTGGCAGCTCACGCAGGCTGTTGGCTACATACGGTAGCCCATGGCAACCCACTGCCACAGGGGCTGTAGCCTACGCCGTCACCGGCGACTCATGGCAGCCCAGCTCCAGGTTGAGCTGTTGTTCAGCATCTTATCTGTAGAGGGCAGTGTCACTGGCCCTCATGTGTGGGATCCGAACTGGGGCCCTCTGGCATCCCAAGCAAGTTCTTAACCATCACGCCACTCGGCTGGCCCGTATTTGCCCATTTTAAGGTTATCTAGTTGAAAGTAATCACATACTAGTGAATTATTGTAATTACAGAAAATGAAGAGTTAATACCTTGGCCTTTAAAGATCTTGTTGATTTACATCGCTCCCTTCCAAACTGCATAATTGTTTAATAAATTCAGTTGTGGTATTACCTTCTTTTATATTCACCTATAAACAATAAAGCCATTTACTTTGATCAGATTCCCAGAGAGCAGGCTAAACAGCTCTGTTAATGAATCAGAAATATCTGTATCTTTCTCATTAAGGATTCTGCCAGAAGTGTCATTTACTTTTAACTATGTAATATTTGTTTGAGAACTACCAAAAAATTGATATTGAGGCTTTTCAAAAGTGTTTTCTAGTCAAATACTTTTGTTTACTTTTCAAGAAAATCAGATTTACAATAAATAAATAATTTAAGCTAGTTTAGACAGTTTGATTTTCTTTTTGGTTTTTTATTCCTATAGGAAAGCCTTAACCACAAAGATAAAATGCATATTGATTTTATAATCCATATTTTCTATCTAGGAATAAGATAATTTGAAATATTGAAAGTTATATATTAAATATCTGTAAGTGTATCATTTAGCTTTCAGTTTCCCTAATTTTGGAAAACTACTCTTGTTGTTTAATACCATCTTTATAATTTCAATATTATTGACTTACTATCACCCTTCCCTAAATTTTCCTCTAGAACAAGTCATTGAAACCCAATTAACCACCAGGGTCTATCTAGGAAAGGAAAAATTACATGAGAGTCTGAAATATGAGTGAATTATTCTCATTATATGATAAATCAGAAGGGAAATTAGAGTAGAAATAAGAAATTAGAGGGTTTCTCTGTTGTTCCAAAATTAACACTTCTGTGATTTGGCCTTACTCTTTTAAATGAATTTCAAGACCATCAGACTCACCAATATTCAAATGCAAGTGAAGATTTAAAAAACTAATTCAATAGCAGCTCTAAAGAAGCCTTGGTTTATTTATTGTCACCTTGTTTTAGCTCTTTACATTAATTTTTATTTTGAATACGGACAGGTAAGAATTAGCTAAATTTCTAAAACTGTATCTCTTAGTTACATAAATGTTATGAAAACCAAAAGGGCCTTTATGTCTCTTAACTGAAGCAAAATCTGGAAACCATTTTTAGTATATCCAGCAGGAAATATCTGAGGCTCTAAAGGTGTTGTGTAATAATATTACTTGGTATTTTAATCACACACTGAACCTTATGTATTGTGTATGTTATGTGTATATATGAGGAAGAGAGAAACAGTATTTTCAAATACTTAGCAGACAGAAATACTCTTAAAAACAATGAAGGAGGTATTATAATAACAGGTTATCACATAGTGTAATTGATAGAGGAAATTAATTTCAAACTTTCAAGACCCATACAGGATGTAAATTATATCACTGGAAATGTTAGGACAAATTAGGTGCTTGATTAATTATTGATGTTCTGGAACATTCATATCTCTACATAACTTCATACTACAATCAAGTTAAAGCTGTGATGCCATTATCTCCTCATTGAATTAGTAGTGGGAGTGAGAGCTTGGAAAGTGCTTCAAGGCTATGGATTAATCCCTTTTACCAACATGTCAAGTCATTTAATATAAGTCTGGTGTACACATGCACTTTCAAATATATGTGCTACTGAAAGCTCACATGATGCATTGATGCAAAAGGTAAAATTCTGTCACCCTGAACATGGAGAATGCATATGGTAGTTCATCCTAACTAAGCATAAAATCTCTTCATAAAATACATAAGTCTTCACTTAACATCATCAATAGGTTGATGATGAAAACATTTAATGAAACTAATTTTATCATACCCTGATATAAACAAGAGTTAAGTTTCTAAGTCGTATTTCTGGCCACAAAAGCATTAACAAACTTCTAAATAAAGACTCAAAACACTTCTAATATTAAACATTGAAATAAATGTGAGGCATATAAATATTTAAGAAAAATTAACTGAAAACAAGTAAGAGGATTATTTTCCAACCCGCTTATTCCAGTTGAGCATTGTGGATGGCAGTAGCCTATCCCAGTAGCTCAGGGCATGAGGTGAGACCCAACCTCAGACAGGATTCTCTTCCATCACAGGACGCACTCACACTCACTCCCATGTCAGACTGAGGCAGTTTAGAAACACCAGTTCACCTCACATGCAATCTTTGGGATGTGGGAGGAACTGGAGTCCCTGGAGAAAACCAACATGTACATGGAGAGAAGGTGCAAACTCCACATAGAAGGTGGCCTCAGTTGGCAATCGATTTTTTTTTCTTCTCATCAACATTATAATGAAACAAGTTTGAATGAAGTGACATTCAGGACCCGCTATACCACAAAATTTCAAAAGCCTAAAAAGGAGGTTGGGCAGGTCTAATTCACTTGTATGTCTGATGGCAGATGTTTTTAACTCACCTAGTTTTCCCCAAACATCAGTTACTCTTAAATGTTATTTCCCAGGACTTCCTGAATCATTTTCTAAAAAGCCACATGAACCCTTGTGATTAATTATGTCACCAGATACTAGACAATTTCTCAGAGCTTACAGGAAGTCAGTCTCACTTGCCCTCTTGCCATTTTCTGCCTTATATGACATCAATTATTAAATTTTTAATAACATTTCAGAAAATGAGGCATAAAAATACAAAATGCCATACAGTTGCATTCAGTTATTTAAGGGTCGCTTTCCATGATCGTGGGTGAAGAAATCTAAGCAATGATCTTCAGAAGGCACTGGCTTAAGGAAAGCGAGTTATTTGTTTCTGCTTTGTATAGCTTTGCAGTTCATACTAGTGTGACTATGTTGCTTTTGAACCACTTGAGAGAAAAATAATTTAATGACCTAGAGTGCAAATACCTAGACTTGAAAAAGATGCATGGGAATGAGTGGTTTGTGTGTTGACATTAGCGTGCAGTGGAATGGAAGTCTGAGTTTTCCTTGCTGTACAAAGAGAATTAAGTTAAATGCTTGCCATTCTCCTCGAGTGTGTGTGTGTGTGTGTGTGTGTGTGTGTGTGTGTGTGTGTGTGTGTGTGTGTGTGTTTTATATCTTAGGCCCATAAAGAGGCCATAACTCCCATTTAAACCTTCTTTCCTAGACAAACATCCATGCACACCCATGTCTATATTTTAGTTATATAAACCAGAGAATGTGAAGGACGTAATGTCTTCTGTTTGGGGGTGGGGAATTGTTGCTTTAAAACAGGACTCGCTTTAAATGGGATTGCTTTACTTCAGGGAAGATAGGACTGGGCACACTGCTGAGGTCTGTGCATGTACTGATTCTCAAACCTAACCAGGTGATGTTTCCTCTTCCGCCTTTCCCCCTGCCCTCCTTCCTGTCACTAGTTGCCATGTACCGAGAACCATCTTTGCATGACGTTGGAGAAACGGTCCCGAAGGCCGGGGTGACGCCAAGTAAAAGCACAAGTGCGTCTGCAATAATGAATGGAGGCAAACCAGTCAACAAAAGTAAGACAACATAGCCAGATCCTCACAGGTGTTGTGACTTACTCGTCCTGAGCACAGTTGAAGGATTTATCCTGGCCAGACATTTCTGCTTCCGTGGCTGAGGAGCAGCCGGAAGTAAGCGGCTGCTTGCTCTTTGCTGTCTCGAACTTCTTGGTTGCAAGTGGATAAATCTCAACCTGTTGCACCCCCCACAGCAAGAAGACACCTGGATAACCAGCTAAACTCAGACCATGGAATGCCCTACCAGATATGGAATGCCTTTTTAATATATTTTCTGTGACTGTGACACTTCATGTGAATGACATACTTCACAAGTACACTCGATACCTTGCCTGCTGACAGCTACCCATAATCCTTTTTGAGTCCTGTTTCAGCGAAATCCATGTGATTAAGTTCAATTTTGTAGCACACAAATACTATTGATTCATTTCTAGTTAGAAGCTGTAAACCTGTGCTATTATGGATCCCCTTCTTCCCGTTTTTACAGGGCTGCTCGCTCCACTGTTTGTGAACCTTTGGCAGGGATTGTGTTCCTCTAAATCTTAAATGTTGCAGTTGGCTTAGTTCGGAGAGTGATCAGGAAATCAGGAAGCCTTCTAAACCTATTATTCCAAATTACATCTATAAAGATTAAGAGTGTTGTCTCTGGCTCACACTATTAATTAAACACACATATAAGCTCTGTTCAGTAGCAGGTACAGTGCTCCTGAGGTCGGCGTTGCCCGGGTGAGAAATGGGTCAAACACAGTCCATGGGAAATTCTCAGTGATATGTGTTTGACATCCCCCTCTAGTTTCTTTGTGTGTGTGTGTGTGTTTTATACATATCACAAGCTTACTGGTAATGGTAACATTTGCCTTGCCCAGCGAGCAAGACCCACTGGTTTTTTGAGAAAGTGGGTCCAAAGAACTCTGTAGGCCTTGTAGGCCTGATTAAGGTTCATTTTTCATCTACTAATCCTCATTATTTGGGAAAAAAAAATCAATAATTACAACCTACCAGAGTTGCGCTACCTAAATCCATTTCAGATATAATTCTTCCTGTTTTTAATGAACCGAACTTAATGCCATCCCGGGTTTTGGCTGCGTTCCACTCATACTCAGCAGAGCATGGGCAAGGCGGCTATTGTGTTCTTTTCTGCAGCAGCAATGCAAACCTTAGTTATAAATTAGACTTTAATATTTTTGGTGTTTAATGACAAGTTTTTAAACTGGACACATTAGGAAAAAAATATTTTTTTTAGCTCAGCATGCTGAGTCAGGTACTGTGTATTTCACCAGTCCATACCTCTAACTCAGCGCATTGGGGCCCAGGTTGCCCAATGGCTGGGGTAGAGGTGCCTTGCCATGATCTCAGAATGCAGTCTGTTGAATTATTCTAGATAAAATTAAAGGCCAACCAACACGATCAAGCATCAGGTTTTTGGTCCATTCAACTGATTTGCTTTTGTTTCATTTGCTCTTTTAATTTCCTTTTAAATAATTCTGAGCTTAGGAAAGACAACTACCAAGAAAGGCCATGAACGGTTAACTACGCAGTGAAGAAACCATGCAAAATGCTCAATATTGGATATAAAGAGTTTCAAAATGTTTAGTACTAAACTGTTTGGAAATATATTTGTTAACTCTGTGTATACTTAATAAAATTTAATGTTTTGTCCTCAGAAGAGTTAATTGAGACCAAACTGGACCTCATTTATAGAAAACTATATGTGGGATCAATACACTGGCCTCTTGTTATTATTTCCATGTGGAAGGATGACCCAGTTACCATTTCCCCCCCCCCCATCTGCACTGTATTTATTAGGAAATTATTTTGTCACTGCTCTTCTAAGTCTCCATGACAGCCCTTACCTAGCATTTTAAAATATTAGCCTGCTTAGCTGATTAAAGATTTAGTATAAAATTAACTGTTTATGCTTATTTCATTTTCATATTGGATTCCATTTTAATAAATAAAAAGTTAGCATAATGTTTGAGTAGATTTATTGTTGATAATGCTGAAGTACAAATACAACAAAATGATTTTTTTTACTGTTCTCGATTTCTTGTTATGCTATTTTAAAGCCTATTGTTTTTAACAGGATAAGTTAAAATACATTAGATGGATTTCATTAACCAATTATTTAGGGAAGATATATATTCCATAATATGTGGCAAATGAAATAATTTAACTTGAAAATTTAATGATGGGCTTAAAGACACTGCTGACTCCAACACACACGCGCGCGCGCACTCACACACACACACACACACACACCAATTTGTTTTTGATAATCAGCCCTACTTGCTGGTTTTTTTCCCCTGGAAGCCTCTTATTGGTTAAAATTAAGACAAAATTTATTTTTCTAAATGACTGAGATTTATGTAAATGTGTACCTCTGTTTTTTGTTTTTGTTTTTGTTTTTTTAATATGAGTTGTCTATAAGGACATTTATCCCTATGAAAGGATGTCAAAATACTTTCTTCTAACATATGTTTAGACATATTGCAGAGGGGTCCTTGTTATTTGTAAATTAGTTCAATCATTTCCTTTGTGTCTGGTCTCACCTGTTGCATGGGACGAGGACAGTGCTGACAAACTGCATGTAGGATCTGATCTGTGTTTCAAGAACTGTTGGTATGTATTGCTCAATTTACATACAAAGAGTTTGCATTGTACAGTTTCTGTGTTTAATACCATCTGTTGTATTCACAAATACAACACATTGAATAAAATATTTATATGAAGACATATTATAAAACATCAAACAACTTTATGTAATGAAATGGCATTGCATCACCCACAAATATAGAGAAATGTCATGTAAAAAAGTTGGTAAACTCAATTTCTCCTTTTACCATGCCAAAGAAAATTTTAGCTCTTTCATGATACCTCTCTTGCTATTTTTCTAGGATAAGACTCCCCCATTTTTTCCCCTCAAAAATCAAGTTTGCTGTGATTAAGTGCAATCTGTCACTACTGATGTTCTCTAGAGTAAATCTGATGGAATTCATCTGTACTTGCACACCGTGTGTTTTGTACCTCCATTTACATATGCTGATTATAGCGAGTCAAATATCACATTCTTTTTTGCATGCAGACCTGGCAGGGAAAGGTTATTTCTACTGATTTGTTATGGTGACTGATTGCTTCACCCATCCCTCAACAATGCTCGGGAATATTAATGGTTTTGATATTTCAAGTGATACCATTTTTATTTTCTTATAAGTTTGCTTTCTAAAATGTTGGGCTATAGCTTTACTTGGAAAAATTATAGAAGAGATGCAAGTGGTCCACCCTATGTAAAGAGTAAAATGGTACTGAGCATCATTATAAGTCCTGGAGAATTTAGAGATTCTTGTTCTAAATATTTGCTTGTCCTGAGTATTGTAGTGCATGGGGTATCTTCAGGAGCTCCACAATGGGCCCATAAGACTCCTGCTGCAGTCCTAATTGTTTGCCTCTTGGACAGTAAGCATAGTTTATCACAGCTAGCCAATTGCTTAATTGATGCCTAAAGCACTAAAGCAGCCAGAGGTTTTTGGGATGACTAATATCAGATTTAGTTTTCTTTAAAAAATAACAAGACAGAACAATAAAGAAAAGAATTTCTTGTTCTATAAGTTAGACACGTATCACTTCATTTAAAGTTTTCTCGCTAATATTACATAAGGAGCATTAAAATTTGAAGGAAAGACCAGATTGATTAAGAAACCCATTTTAGAAGGAAGTGAAAATATTTGACAATTATTTTCAATTTCATTTCAGAACAAGACAATATCCAGGGAAAGCAATTAAGCTAAATCCAGGCACATCAAAATCCAGATGTGAACTGAACTGTGTTACTTTGGAGTAAATGTACATTTCATAGCTTAGATTTCTTAGCTTGCAAGGTGGAACACAGCCTGTTGACTGTCTTGAATACTGAGAAGGGTTTCAAAGTTTTGATAATGAGTCTGCAGACAAAAGCTGAGTTGTGTTTCATTTTTGTTTTTTCTTGGCTTTCTAATTCAGTCTAATCCTGATGTTTGCTGGCAGAGACTGTGTTTGCGTTTGAGAGGTGGAGGCTATTCCTTTCAATGGGCTGCAGGAATCTAGATTTGCTCAAGGAATGCAGAAAGAAAAAAAGTGGTATAATGCTCCCCTCTTAGGTCTTAGGACCTTCCTCGAATTTTACTGAAAAGGCCTTATAGGAGAATTACTCAGTGAAAGTTTGCCAAGCAAGTAGGGTTTGTGCCAACACCACTTACAAACTGGTCGTATCCTTCCCAATTGACATTAATCGCACTGTAGCATGGAACAAACTTGAACAAACTATTGAGATTTACACATGTTCCCTCCTCCTATTGAAAGTTTGTTCTTGCCCTGCCTTCTTTCAAAGAGAGAGTTTCTAACAGTATCAGTATCAAAAGTCAAAGTACCAAATCACATTTAAGAAGGGTAGAATGTATGTCTTTACATGTAACTATGTTTATTTTTTTTCTAATTTAAACACATCCATTAAATCATTTCTTAATAGATCTATTGATGTTTGCATTGCTAGAGTCAAAATCACACATACCCACACACACACGAACTATTACAGCAGATGAAAAAAAGTAAAAAGAAAATATTTTTGTTTTAAAGGAAAAATACTCATTATAGTTTAGGTACCATGTCACTTGTGCTATAACTTAGTTTCAGCTCAATAATTTGTAGCTAAATGAACCCAGAACGTTGTTGATTGTGATATATTTTCACTTTGTCAAAAAATTTGGAAAAATCACACTCTGAATTTTATAATATAAACATTTCTCCATACCTTAATGTTTTCTTAAACAAAAAAAACCATAATGCTGAAGACATTTTTTTATATTAAAATATAAACAGAGAAACACTTTTTTGTAGTCGTTGTTGTTAATGAAAAGCATTGACAAATATAGAGAACTACAAGAAAAATAAGACATACCTAAGGTTATGTGAGGAGATACAGGAAATGAAGGTTAGTTCCAACAGAGCACAGGTTGGCAAACAACCCCTCGGCTGTGAGTCAAATCCAGCTTGCAATCTGTTTTTGTGTGGCCCAGGAGCTCAGAATGAGTTTTTTGTTTTTTTGTTTTTTCTTTTTTACAGTTTTAAAGTATCCAAAACAAATAAGCAAAGAATATGCAACAGAGATATATGTGGCCCAAAAAGTCTAAACTGTTTCATATCTGGTCCTTTCCATAGAAAGCAGAGCTCTGCAACAGGAGACCTGAATGTCATTTGTACTATGGCGGCTAGATCATGTAGGAAATTCAGATGTGTCTATCATCGAATAAGTCATCAACATTGCTTCTGAATAATAAGAGGTTTGTTAGAAGTTCAATACTTAAAGAGGAGGAAAGAATATAATAATCTATATTTATTTCTTAATTGCTTATGTTCCTCTCATTTTACAAAACTGATATACCAATTGACATACTTAACGGTAGAGATACAACTAATATGGTTGCACTTCTTAATCTCAGGATAGAGATAACAATTTTATAAATCTATTAATTATGAGAATAACATTAGTACTATAAAAATCAGTACCAGTTACATTTTCTCTTAAATCATTTTCAATGTTAAATTTTAAGTAACTCGGCAGATACATATTTATATTTTCCTTATTTTTGGTGATTTGACTTATAAAGTCCAAGCGATGATTCTCAAATATTTACATCGTTAAGTAAAATTTCCAAATAAAAATTTTTGTCTTAAACAATATGGAAATGATTTTGTTAATTTATTCTGGGATTTTACAAAAATATAATTCTCATTTAGAGAAAAGTGGGTCTGTTTCAGCTCTAAATAATTAAAGTTTGTCTAAACTAATGTGTATAAGTAGATTTAACTATAAATATATAAGGGAAGTCCAAATTATTGTATGTTTTCATAATTCAATGTGAATTTCATGCAGAGCAAAATTTCACCATTAAGAAAATAAACATTTTGTTCCTATCACTGAGTGAATATTTGTAATTTCTATTTAAGCCATTTCTAGATTTTTTTTTTAATTCTCTAAGCTTTTGAGACTGGTGCCATTTTATCATAGTATTTCTTCTTGACTTCTTATGACCCTACTTTTCCAGCAAGTAATAAATGTATTCTTAGACATAAGAGAGCCTTTTAAGACAAATGAATGCATATTTCAGGCCCATCATACAGCTAACTAGATATTATCTTTTTGAAAGGTGAGTTACCATCGAGTAACTTAAATAGTGAAAAACCTGATTTCTAAATGTTCTAGTAACAGAAAATGGATAGTCTTGAATAACAATTCTTTTTTTGTTGTTAATCATCAGTTGGTAAATACATATTGACACAGTGTAAATAACTATGTCAGTATTTATTAAAAATGTTAAATTGTACATTTTTCATAACCTCTTTCTTCATCTTAACAGAATTTTTGTCTGTGTGTGAGTTTAAACTGAGACTGGAGAAATGACTTAATGACTAAAAATGACCAGTCTTTTTTTCAAAAGCACTGGTGATCTGGCTTCTGCCCTAGCACACCGACATTATACTTCATGTGTGTGTGTCTTCGTTGTCCCCATACCGAAATGCTAAATGATATGGAAACCAGGAAAAATATGATTGATGGATTTATATGAAGATATATCTTTTCCTTAGATTGTAAAATGGGCTTTCTCGTGTAGGGATGTGCATTTCTAACAACCATGTAAATTCAGCATTTTTCAACTCTGGAACTATTGACATTTGAAATCAGATCATTCTTTGTCTTGGGCGGGGGGGTTGGGGAGGGGTGCTGCCCTGTGCTCTGTACAATGTTTAGCAGCGTCCGTCCCTGGCCTCTACCCACTAGAGATGCCAGTAGCACACCCTCCCACCCTACCCAGTGTGACAATCAAAATTGTAGACATTTCCAACTGTTTTCTGGGTGGCAAAATTGCCCTTGTTGAGAACCACTGATGTAAATTATGGAAGGAAATTTCTCTCTGGTGTTATTTACATCAGAGTGTGCTTAATTTATTTTTAATGGGTACCCAGGTTTCATTCAGGCATTCAGAAATAAAAAAAACAAACAAAAACATACAACAGTCTGTTTGACCTGTCCTCGTGGTGATTATACATGGTTTCCTTTGCATTTATATGTTCTAATGGCTTAGAAAATTAAGAATCAGTCCTCTCCCATGTAATTGTTAAGGATATTCTGTGCCAAGCCAGATTTCACATGCGTTTCCATTCCATCCATCCCAGCATTCACAGTTGCCACAGCTACATATTCCGTTCCCTGCAATAAAATACACAGGGGAATAATGATCATGATGGAAATGGACCAAGTTAAAATATGTTATTATAAACCATAACTGTTCATAATCAAAGCCATTTCATTCATCTGTTCAGGCTTTCTGATTGTGCAGCCATCTTATTATTAGCTTATTAAGCAGCTATAGAAAATCTGATCTTTTAAATAAGAAATGGCATCTACTTGGGGCCACCATCTTTATAGTATTGATCTAATAGTGACCATCCTATATTACCCCAGCTGGGCTTCCATGTCAGAATTTTGATTTTCTGTTGAAAGCAAGTTATGTCTGAGTTATTAATAAATGCTAAAAAAAACAACAACCCCAAAAGCTGCTTGTCATAGTAAGAGGTGGGCTGAGTAACCAGCCAGAAGAGGAGCCTTGTGCAGTAGGGATGGACAGAAAGCGAATGTCAAGCTTAATGACACACAAATATTCATCTTTACCTTCAGCTAGAAACGAGGAGAACAAACATACATGTCTCTGTTTCCCCTGTAACTTGCTTAAGAAAATGTATTTCATAACCAGCTAGCAGGAGTCAATAACTTGGCATCACAGTATCTATTACAGTCCTAACTCTTTTCACACTCCCATCCCCACAGCCCATACATACCCCAACCAACTGGTGGTACCTGGGTCCTATTTAAAATAATATTCCATTACCTACGCCATGCTCAATGTAAAATTGTGGTCAAGAGATCTGTTTTCTTTTTTCAATATATAACTACATCTGTGTAAGTTGTGACAGGGTTACATGGTGGAATTTCCCCCAAAATCATATAATTTGGCTTCATTATTTTGTATTCTTCTATGCCTGGGAATAGTATTGCTTATTCCCAAATGCCCACCTCGCCTTACAGTTACTTTGTTTTAATAGTTGGCCTTTGAGTACATGGAAGCTGTCCTGCCCAGTGACCTACAGCAGCATGCAATGGGTGTCATTCCTCTTTATTGCAAACTGTGGCATAGATGGATTAGAGTAGGTCAATACTGAACCTGTGCAAATGAGCCCATCATGTTTGTCACAGTCCCTGTCATCACAGTCGCAGAATTCTCCAGAAATATACCATTCTTCAGCAGAACAAATGCACTTTCCACAGTGACAAGAACCTGAAATCATAAAGGGTATCATTGGTTGTCACCGCATAACTAAAAGTTTCTGTCTAGAATAGAATACCATCAATGCACTGACAATAGGCTTCTAATAACCTCTTTTCCAAAGGTAAAACTTTATTGAATAGCCAGTTACTCAGAGGGGAGCTTTACTTACTGTAATTCATAAAGGTTATCCAGGAAAGGCTTCATTATGGATCTAGACAGTTGCAATTAGCCTTGAGCAAATGTTCCATGGCCCAGCCTGGTTGAAATGTCAATGAGAGCAGACTGTGGCTCATTCTTATAGATGGCCTTCCCAAAAGGTGTTCAAAAATAGATGTTATTTTTGCTTTTATACTAAATTGAATCATTTTAAAGGTCTCTGTTCTTTAAAGGGATTGAATAGTAAGTTCTATTAAATGAGGATGCATTTTATAATTAAAACAGTTACTAATTTCTTGTGCTTATAATTTGAGATTTTTGTTTACATGACTTTCTCAAAGTAAAGGCACACCTGCATACACACACAATCACTCATGTATGTTTGACTTATGAAATCTCATCCTCAGGATTGCCTGCCATAATCAATGATAGCTCTAATCCCCCCAAAAGTTCATCTTTTATGAGGCTCTAGAGCCAACCACCTTTCTTATTTCATGCATCCCCCTCTCTTTTTACTTCCTACCTAATTAAAATCTTGCTCTTTGGTTTTTAAAAGTATTTTGGTTTAATGAGAAGCAATCTTATTCATGGTACATTTATAAAGAAAGAAAATATGAAATTAATTGGTGTCAAAAAGAGAAGAATTTTCTTTCAATAAATGTCTTTACATGACAGGTTAAAAAACCATCACATGGCAGAATTAATTCTATGATAGCAGTAAAGACAACTTTAAAATTAAAAAAAGAAGCACATATATAATGGACTTTCCCTCTCTTCTATTTCCTTGGATTAGTTGTTTTTTCCAAACGTGATTTCTTTTGACTGAAGATGGATATCACCTTAAGAGAATGTGAAGTAGAAAAAGTATTTTGACATATGAGTATTTAACATAATTCCACACTTGGTAAATTCAAAATATATTGGGAGGGGGCAAGAATCAATCATTAGTGCCTCTGTGAAACATAGTGACTGAAAAATGAGTTAACAACCTAGGTCATAAAAATGGTTAGAGAAAGACATTTATATTTATTATTGAGACAATGAAGGGATTCATACACACATGTCCCAGGAATTAAGCTCTTTGTGGTATTTTATGTCATGGAAACTGGTGCATTTTAGCTGCAAGAGTCCCCAGCAGCCAAATTAAACTTTCGACATTCCTTGTCACACTTCTCAAGGTAAGGGAGTAGTCAGAATTAGTTCTATGCTGAGAAATGCGTTTACATTTAACTTCTTGCTTAACCACAGCATGATTTCATTTAGTTCTGACTTGTTTACCTGAGGGTCCAGGTTGATTTGCATACTCTTGAGCAAAACAGACAACTTTCAGTTCTACTGAGTGACCTGGTGGTTGCTTAGGGCCCATAGGCTGGGCCACCCAGGTCAGTCTGTGAGGGTTAGTGGTCTCATCCACGTACAGTGTTTCTTTATTTAGAAATTTATCCTATTTTTAAAGACTTTCTTTCAAATTTTTAGGCACAGAACTGTTCAACATTCAACTGCTAATTTTGCAAATGGTAAGCACTATATCTCCAAGCAAAGAATTCATTGACTTTTCATTAACATTTCTTCAGAAAGGACCATATTTAGTGCTTTATTTCCATTAGTGGAAGAAGATTATTTAAAGAATTTGACTGTTTTTCATTGTTTCCAAAACAGTATCTCCCTTACTTTGCAAAACTGTTTTGATGACAGAGCAGAAGTAAATGACTTTATATGTCCATAAAATTCATGTAGTATACCTATGATATCTTTTTTTTTGCCACAATTTATGAAAAGATCTCACATTTCATCTTAAACTTATCCCCTGGCTCTGGAATTTTTCTAAGCACTGCTCTTGCTTCTGGAATGCTTAGCTTCAGACCACAGCAAAGTATTTTCCTAAAACTGGTAAGCTCAGCTAAAGTTAATATAGTATACATTGATAGACTATTTGACAAGTAAATGCCAGTTCCAAAAGTCTACTAGTCACTGAAATACTTAGAATGAGAAATGGGGATTGATTTTTGTATTTTGTACTTGTATGTGCTGTGAAAAACTAGCTTTTCTCGGTCAGCATTTTCCCCAGCTGTGTTGTTCTTTCCTGTTTGTCAATGCTCAGTGCATCTTAGAGGTAGGAAATTCTTCTACTCCTTGTGAAACTAGGTCTAGCACAGCATGTAATAATAACACAGTGTGATCGTTATTAGGATGTCTTACAGCTCCTTTGTTGTAGAGTGTTCTGGCTGTTTTCATCAGTAACTGGGGGTCAAATTGCCCATCTCTGGAAAGGGAAAAACTTAGGAGAGGATTCTGTCAAACAGATATAAGCCCCATGACTGCCAAGAGGTGACCGATTATTCAGCTCAGCTGGCAGGGGACCCACTCACACTCATGAGACTCAATCCAGTCACAGGGAGCAGCTGGCCCTTCTTGGCAAGAACTCTAGGGTGGTAAATTCATGATCACAACACCACTAATCCATTTACTTTCTTTCTCAATATAAGGACCCTTAAGAAGGCTCCGATCTCCCTTCTGTGCTTCTTACTGGCTTCCGTTCCTGGTGAACGAGCCACATTCTCTCATTTATCTTCAGAACATCCTTAGGACTTAAGAAGGGGAAATAAATGAAATTCCGCCTTCAAAGATGAGAAAATGGAAGTATAGAGAGGGTAAGGGAAGTGCCCAGAGCCCCAAGGGCAATAAAGAGTTAACCTAAGATGTCTATCCAATTCAGCCTCCTCTTCTATTTACCTATCTGCCTCTCACAAGAACTTTCATACAGTTTTAAAAATCAGTTGTGTGTTCCTGCTGATCTGACTGACAGCCAAATCGGGTGAGGCAACTAGACCACTGGTCCAAGACCAGTTTTTGAAGCATAACTTTTCCTGTCTCCTTTCAAGGATGGAGGTGATGGGTAGGAGAGATGGAGGTGAGAGTAGACTTATTTTGATGATGTGGGCAAAAGTATCATTGTGAGAGTCTAAGGAGACATTTAGTGACATGCGATTATAGCCATCATCATCCTGCAACATCTTTAGGAATATTAGAGGTGATGATGGAGATCTAGGTTGCAATTATCAAGGTCAAAAGATTATGATGTACTTGGATACAAATAAATACACAAATAAACAAACAGCCTATGAATTATATCATGTATTCCGCAAAGGTAGCTAAACTTAGGGGAGACCTGGCTCTAAGCTCATCTCTCTGGTTATTCACAATAAAAACAATTTGAGTCTAAGGGTGAGGCACCTTTGTTAGCTGCCCCATTTATAAAGAGGACTTTCTTTTTCATTCATCAAGCCTGACAAAATGCTGCAACCTGACATCCCAGCAGGCAGTTTTCACTATTGTACTAACTACTCCATCTGTTATGAAGGTCACAACAATGTATCTTGTTTTAAATTTTTCTATGGAGTGATTTATTGTCTTGGCTATAAATTTGTAAAGAAATAAAATGCTATTTCTTCATCGTCTCCTGAGGTGATGGCTTTATTCACAGCTCATGGGAAATGCATGTGTCAGGTTTGTCTTTCTGGTGAGAACACTTAGTTGGGCACAGGCTACTAAGTGGTATACTCTGGCAATCTCAGGCCAACTGAGGGTGAAATAGAGCTACTCTTTCTGTGGTTCTTGAGGTGGGGGAGGGGTGGCACCCTCCTTGGGGACAGGAGCTGCTGCATCCCACTATTCTCCATGCCTACCGAGGAGCATAGCTCCATGATCTCGTTTTTAGTCCCTTTCTTCTATAACCCAGCACCGATATCTCCAGAATAAGAGGAAAGAGAGGAGAACACAGGCAGCTGCTGCCAACAACAGAACGCCCAGAATCATCACTTCACCAGCCTCAAAGCATGTAGCCTTGAAGCAGCTTTTACATCCCCATTTGAGTTCAAAGACTAAAAATTCTACCCATTGAAGGGTAAATAAATAATTTAGAATATATTCATTCATCCCTTCATTAATCTCTAGATATAGTTCCATTGCCCAAAGCAAACAATTTGAAAAGACATTAACTAGAGAGATTTTCTTGTTTTATTTGAGGAAATGTTTTTGGGCCAATATTTAGTTAACTTATTTCTTTTTGCATTTCCTACATTTATGATGCTGAAAAAATCAGAATCTGCAGAATGTAATGACTAAAGAATGTTTATTTCTTGAAAAGAAGCTACCTCTCTTTTTGCATGAAATTCAGTTTAGGACATGAAAGGCTGGTATTCACTATACTGGTGAGCGTGGCTTTGTTGTCTTCTTGAACTTGAAATTGGACATGACTGAGCAAAGGACCTGCTTATCAACAATGTTAATGATTTGAGAGTGTGTCTAGTAAACACACACACACACACACACACACACACACACACACACACACACACTGGCTGATTATTAAAATAAACAAATATAAACAAGCACATCAATGTTATAACAAATGGGTTTCATCATTCGGTAGGTAGAGTTCCTATGAAAAGTTAATATCCTTATTCCAAGGATAATGCCATTATGAAAACCAGTGAAAAAGTATCTAAACTTTAGGGCTCTGTGTTTCGAGCTATACTCAGAAATAAAAATCTAATTCATACAAGTTAACCATTCTCAGTACCTTTTATAGGCAGGACACTCGCTTCAGATTTGATAATGTTTATTTTCATTTTCTTTTTTTACCCTCCTGCTTCCACTTTGAAGGTTAATTCTATTTCTACCCTTTTTCCTGTTCTCTTTGTTCACCTTTTCCTCTGCAATTCCTTCCTTCTGCCTCTTCCTTTTAACCTTTCCTTCCTCCTTTTTGGTTCTCCTGACAGACGTTAAACCTAAAGCAAGTGTTTCCAGGAGCTGGGGGCCCCTGAGATCTGAACTGGTGTGAGATTTGTTTGGGACTTGGAATTAGAATGAATTTAATAGTGGAACGAAGTGATTGCTTTAAACTCATTTAAGTGACACCTGGCTGCTGTCATTGCATTAGGTTGAAGGCATGGCCTCCTTGCCAGAGTGCTGTAAACACCAGTCTCACACACAGGATTCCTGGAAACTAAGTGCACGGTTGTCTATTGAAATGAGCATGCTTGTAACAAGTTTCAGCCTTCTTCCAGGCACCATGATTCGTCCCAGCATCCATTTGAGTTTGTCTTTGCAAGTATGTCAACGTGCCTCTTTTAATGGGATAACATTGGCCTTGAGTGATAAGTAAAGCAACAGCCACCATTTAAGGGCACATCCCCATGGTGCTCCTGTTTCCCAGACCTCCTCCATCGCTAACCAGCAGATCCACTTTGTTTTACTGTGTCTCCTTCATAAGATATTTACATGCTACTCCTGACCCAGGGTAGGTGTTAGAGGGTAAATGCAGCTTCAGCCATAGCTGTGCTTTGTCTGCAAAGGGGGCACTTTCTGCAAGGGTCCATTCTGCAAGGAGGCACTGAGCTGAAAAAGAGAGCTGGGAAGCTCCATGACATCTAGTTCCAGGCAGGGCAGCACCCCAACATTTAATGAGAATCCTGTGAGCTTCCAGACTCTTTTCTGCAATTCTGGGCTCTGCTATTTCACAGGTGAACTCAACAATTATCCTTTTCCCTTTTTTTTTTTTTTTTGGCCCATTCAGTGCCCAGTATATCTTATTGTACTTTTTTCTTTGAACAATTATTAATTATAGTTCATTCAGCAATGAAGTTGTATACTACAAGCGACTGAGGATCTTTTTGCATGAAACCTATCCCATGCATTTTATTTTCTTAGACACTAAACTTCACGTGGTTAACTTTCAAGCTTAAAGGCTAGTGGAAGCAGGGGACAGAGTGGTTTCCATTCACGCCAAGTGCAATCTGAAGACGATGGTTGCTACGGCTGCTGCAGAAACCATGTGTCACAACAAGGACCCTGTCCAAGCTCCGGCAGAGATACTCACCCTTTCCTGAGCACAATATGCCATCTGCTGATTCACACAGACTCTTGCTTTGTTCCTCCGTCATATTACACTTCCTGGGATGTTGGCAGAGCTTTCCAAACCATCCTCTCTCACAAACGCAGCGACCACAGGAACACGTGCCGTGGCCTGAGAAACAGTCACAGGGTTGGGGGAGAGAAGGAGATGAGTAAATAGGCAGATGAATCTCAGTTTTTAAGGAAGAAATATGTAAATCATGGGATCTCCTTTCATATCAAGCAAACATACTTTCCTTTTATGTACAGTCAATTAATTGGGCATGTAGTTTTTAAAAAGAACTTCACAATACAGTTCTATTTTCACATAATGCATTTCCTGAATGTAGCATAGGAGATGTTCTCAAGAGAGAAAGAAATCTTGAAGCAATTTAAAATGGAATTTTATCAAAATACATCCTCATTTGCAATTCTATCAGTATAGAATATTCCTGCTTTTTATCATGGCGCATACCATGACACCCAGACCAATGGGCAAGGCTGGTATTTATTGGTTGCCATCCTATTGTTTACTAATAAAAATAAAAGGTTCATTTCTGTAAGAATGACATCCAGTATTATATTACTTTGGCTGTGTACCTCTCTACTTACTAATAAGAACAGATGTAAGTAACAGTGTCTATTGTTGTACAGAAGTTAAAAAAAGAAAAGCATGAGGCTTAGATTCATATCTGGAACTTGTTTTTCCTTTTGTTTCTGTCATAGGCTCCTGTTTTTGGGGATGTTTATCTTTGGTAATATATACAATGTTGTATTTGTGACAGTTATTCACTGACATACACATCTATCTAATTGCTTGCCACTGACACCTTATTAGATTGCATTGACTTCCATTTAAATTTCTTGTTTCCAATCAATACTTCATACTTTTTCCTATATGTACATTACCTTACAGCCAGATATCTCCAAACAGAACAAAGAAAACAGCTATTTTTTGGCAAAATTTTACTGAGAGTCTACTACAAACAGAACATTTTTCTAGGTATCAGCGTATACAAAATCAAGCATCATGGACACAGTTGTCCCCTCCAGGGACACGTGACATCATCGTTCAGACGGATCAGCTTCCTGGGTCTGTTGACACCATTCTGCCTTGACCATTTGCCCTGGCAGGACTTTCAAGCGTAAGCCTATTCCATCTGCCTCTTCCTCCACTTGGCTTTGCACGAGGTGAGGTTAGTGGCTGATGATTAATTGTTTGCAATTCATCATTATGATTAATTTCACCTAACCTCCCAGGAACCAGGTAAGGTTTTTAAATAAAACATGATCATCTGGAAGTTAATGGAAAGCAAATGGGAGACAAACTCAAAAGAGACCTGGATGAACAGACCTATTTCCAACAGCTTCTTATTCATGAGTTGATTTACTGAATTTAATCTTACAGCCCTTTGATTCAGGTATTATCCTCATTTTATAGTCAACAAACTGAGGCACAGAGAGATAAATTAATTTTACCCCAAATCTCATAGCTCAACCAAACAAATCAGAACTTGCCTCCAGTTTCTCTGATTTCAAGGTCCACTCTTTCTCCATTGTGCCACATTGCCTCTATATTTCATTTTGGGAAATACATAATGATTATCAATGTGAGGCATCTAGAAGCCTTTTCTCAATTCTATCTTTTTTAGCTGCTGCGTAGTTTGAAGGTATACATTTGACATTTATGAGCACTTTCTTCTTAAAATCTCTCCTGTATTGGTTTTCATGACATTAGACTCTATCTTTTCCACAGTTCTCCTTTCCCTATTTATTCTTGTACCTTTTTTCTGACACAATTAATGTAGTCATCCACTAACAGTCTATCTTGAATCATCTTCTTTTATCTCTCTATAATATTTCCTTTGAAAAATTCATCATATCACAGGATTTCAGATAGCCACAATTATCATAGGGCTGTCCTACCAGCCCCTAAATCTCTCCTAAATTCCACTCCTGCGATTCCAAAGCTTGTGTTCTCCTAGCATCCAAAAATTGATACTTCTGGGCCTGCATATATAATTTTCTTTCTAAAAGCTACTCTTTTGTATTGTCCATTTCTTTTAAAGACACAACTTTCCTTTCAGTCAACCAGTTCAAAATGTTTTGAGTCACATTTGAATCCCCCTTACTCCCTCATCTAACACGTTGCCAGCTCCTGTTGAAACTACCTCCAAAATATCCACTCATATCACCATCATAAACTTTTGAGCAGCCTTCCTAGCATGTCTTTCTCCAATATTCTTGGCCACAGCTTCCTACAGTACCACATTGCTCACATCACAGCCTTGAGACCCAGTGCTGTATAACTCCCTAACGTTTATGAAAATAAGTTTACCTACTTTAGCTTTCCTTATATTTTAGTTTCCTGAATTACAGTCCCCAGCTACTTTTCCAACCTTACTCCCTCTCTCCTTGTCTCCCCTTTCATATACCTCTTGATCTAACCAAACTGACCGACTCGTTGTTCTCTATACATTCCCTATGTTTTTCTGACTTCATGCCTTTTTTGTGATATAAATGCCATCTCCCTGCTCTGAACCTTCATCTTCTCCTCCTCTGAATTTCTATACTGCCTTATTTTCCAACACTATTGTGGAACTTTCTGTCTTCCACCTTGTGATATTTATGAACTAAACCCATCTTCTGACTGTGAATTCTTTGAGAGCAGAAATCACTTCTGATTCATCACTGTAGTATTCAGAGTGCCAAGCCCACTGCTTTAGATATAATGGATCCTCAAAAAAAAAATTAAAGATTGAGGTTATTTTTAAACAATATATCCTCATTTAAAAAACAAAACAAAACACAAATTCCCAACTGAGAACCAAAAACTGAATCCAGGACATGTTTACAGGTCATCTGGTTAATGGACTATCGTTCAAGAGTAATGGACAGTTCTTGGATGGCTCTGCTTTATTTCTACGTTCTGTAGAGTAGAGTGAAGTTATAGAATCAGTGCCCCATAAGATCTACACATTTAATCAATAGTTATTAAATTGACTATATCTTGACTTCTCCAATAAAACAAAAGTCCACTTAAAGTGAGGTCTACTTCAGAAGTTAAAAAAAAAGTCCATCTTTGGGGGCAGATAATCTGGGGTACCAGAAAAGTAAGAAAGCAATAGAGAGCTTCTAGTAACTGACTCATTGAGCTATGGACATTTCAAATGTCCATGTTTCTTTGACTTAGAATATCATTGATAAAAACTCAGTGGCTCCTCACAGCAAATAATTTAATGTAAGATTATATATATATATATATATATATATATATATATATATATATATATATGCAAGAATAGGTGATTTTTAAAAATTTATTAGTTAATTTGTCATATCTTTCTAGAACGGTAAGTTGGCAATCAGCCCAGATGATGGTCAAAATACACTGGTAATTACATGTTTTGATTTGCAATTTACATGCTTTCCCTTTAGTTAAAAAAGCCTTTGAGGGCTGGCTGAGTGGCGCAATGGTTAGGAACTCGCTTGGGACGCTGGAGGGCCCCGGTTCGGATCCCACATGTGAGGGCCAGTGACACTGCCCTCCACAGCTAAGATGCTGAACAACAGCTCCACCTGGAGCTGGGCTGCCATGAGCTGCCGGCGATGGCATAGGCTGCAGCCCCTGTGGCAGTGGACTGCCATAAGCTACCGTGTGTAGCGGCCAGCAGCCGCAGTGAGCAGCCGTCCAGAAGCTGGCGACTGATCTGCCTCGTCCAGGAAGAGCGCAATGATGGTGCCAACTTGGGCCAGTGAAGGAACGTCCTCCACAACTAGACTGAAGAACAAAATGACAGAAACTTGTCTGTTCCCCTTCCCCCAATTCCCCAGCACTGTTCCCATCCCCCCAATTCCCCAATTAAAAAAAATCTTTTTTTAAAAAAAACCTTTTGAAAAGCTTTCAATAATATCTTCTTTATAAACTCTAATAATTGTAGTCATGCATTCAAGAGCTTTTATGGTGCACCAGGCATTGTACTAGACCTACCCCATGGTGCTTACCGTCTACTAGGGGAGAAAACAAGTAACAACAAGTGAACTGATGCATTTGAGCTGTGAAAGAATTAAAGACGGTGCTAGTATATTCAACAGTGAGAACGCTGTTAACTGGAGTAGTCAGAGAAGGGCTCCGTGACACCCACGGAGCCAAAGAGGCAATGTTCTAGGAAAGCTAATGAGAGTTCTTGGAAAAAGAAAGAGCTTGGCATGTGACAGGCAGTGAAAAGAGGACAATGTGTTAAAAGAAGAGTGAGTAATAAAAATGGAGTAAATAATAAACTTGGGGAAAGGTTCAGGAATGAGAACACAACAAACTGTTTTTTTTCTTGGTAAGGAGTTTAAAGTTTATTTTAATAGAAATGGGAAATCATAGAAGAATGTTAAGCAAGAGCAATGTGAAACAATCTGCAAGTTAATTTTGGCAGCTAAATGGGAGAGATTAAGGTGTGCTGGGAAGAAGGGAGTATGGGGAAAGTGAGAGACTATGGCAGTATTCCAAGTGAAAGGTGACAGAGGCTTCGAGTATTAATAGGATGGTGATGGTGCGAATGGAGAGACATGAATGGAGATCTACTTTGGTGGTGGTGCTTATGAGACCTGTTGAATTGGATGTGGCAGATGAGAGAAAGAAAGGACTAGTTTTCTGGCTAGAGAAATATTGTGAATAATAATGCTATTTATTAGCTATGAAAGCTTCAGGAGGAAGAGGGGGAGAGCAGCAAATAGGCTGTTTTGAGCCTTATGTGTTTGAGAAATTCTTTTTATTTTTCGTAAGAATTTTTTTTTTTAATTTGGCATTTACCTGAGTGGAATTTTTGGGTTAGCATACAAGTATTGTCATATCATTGGCTATATTCCCTATGCTTTACGTTACATGCCCATGACTATTTTGTAACTCCTAATTTGTAGTTACAAATTAACTTCTTAATCCCTTCATTTTTTCACCCTGCTCCCCATCCCTTTCCATCTATCATCCCAACAAATCTGGTACCCATCTGACACCATACATAGTTATTATAATATTGCTAACTATATCCCTTATGCTATAACCTACATCCCCATAACTACTTTGTAACAGCCAATTTGTACTTGCTAATCCCTTCCCCTTTTATCACCTACAACCCCAACCCC